TATATATATATATATACAGCTGTATATATGCTATACTGTTGTGAATACACCCCAGCAATGATTGAAGCGAGGAGAGGCAGTATTTTTGCTGGATAAGTTTGTTTAAAAGAATAAATAAATAAAATATTTTTAAAAATTGAATAAAAAAACAAATAAATAAACGCATATGTTTAGAAGGCTGCGTTTGCTGCTGCAGCGGGCGCTGGGGTGTATAGGCAGGTTGCTGCTGCTTTGTCTATTGAATAGATATGTTGTAGAATATTTTATTATATCAAATAGTATTTAAAAAGTATTTATATTTATTTATTTACGCTTTTATATTCATTCAAATACTACGCATGCAGCAAGCAGCTCTGCTGCAGCAACGGGGCTGCCAGCAGCAACTGTGGGGCTGCTGCAGCAGCAAACTTCTGCGTGAAGTTTATATTAATTTTTTTTGTTTTTTCTTTTATTTCTCATCTACTTAATAATAGAAAAAGGATATTTCAAGGAAGAAGAAGAAGAGCAGCTTGCTGCTGCTGCTGCTGCTGCTGCTGCTGTCTCTGCTGTCTCTGGAGATAGAACATCGAGAGAGAAACAGCAAGCATATTTTTGCTGTTATTTCTTTTGCTGCTGCAGCAGGGGTTTATAAGCAGCTTTTTATTTTATAACAAACATCATTTAACACCAGCTATCTACCTTGCAGCAACAGAAGCAGCAGCAGCAGCAGCAGCAACGGAAGCACAGGGAGCAGCAGAGGCATGAGAAACAGCAGCATCAGAAGCAGCAGCAGCAGCAGAAGCAAAAGCAGCAGCACAAACAGCAGCAAAAACAGCAGCAGAAGCAGCAGCAGAAGCAGCTGAATCTGCTGAAGCAGCAGCTGCATACGCTGTATACCTTCGCACACACACATACATACATATATTATATATATGTTTGTATGTAGATATATATAATATAAATATATATATCTAATTGTATAGATATATATATATATAATATATATATAATATATATATAATATATATATGTAGATATCTATATGTATGAGTATAAAAATATATATACCTACATATAAGTAAATATACGTATATATATACTGAGAGATAATAATAATAATAATAATAATAATAATAATAAATAAATAAATAAATAATAAAATAAAAATAAAATAAAAATAAGATAATATGAATAATATAGGAGATATATCCGCTCGGGAGAGTGTAGCTCTGTGCTGCATATGCGGTGCAGCAGCAGCAGCAGCAGCAGCAAAAGGCAGCAGATGTTTAACTTGTCTGCAGCAAGACATTGATATCAGCAGCAAAATATGTCGCACATTTGTTGTAGATCGCTGCAGACAGTGCAGCAGATTCAAAGACGCTCAAGGAAGATGGCTAAGCTGCCAGCTCGAATCAAGGTATGCTGCTGCTGCTGCTGCTGCTGCTGCTGTTGATTCTGCTGCTGCTGTGGCTGTTGCTGTTGCTGCTGTTGCCGCTGTTGCTGTGGCTGTTGCTTCTGTTGCTGTGGCTGTTGCTGCGGCTGTTGCTGCTGCTGCGGCTGTTGCTGCTGTGGTTGTTGCTGCTGGTACTGGTGCCGTTGCTGTGGCTGTTGCTGCTGCTGTGGCTGTTGCTGCTGCTGTTGCTGCTGCTGCTGTTATTGCTGCTGCTGTTATTGCTGCTTTGATTATGTGAATTATTGAATGTAAATATAACGACTACCTGCCTAGCTATCAATCTATCTTAATAAATAAATAAATAAATAAATAAATATGCTGATGTGGTGCAGAGAACTGCTAGGTTTATGTCTGAAGAAGCTGCGAGGCCTAAAGACAGTTAACAAAGTAGCAGATTGCTGCTGGCTGTACACCGAGCCTAATTCAAACAAACTGCGGCTTCGGCTGACTGTACGGTCCTTCATCTTAGACGGCAAAGCAGAGGCTGAGCAAACATTTAACGTATCCGGCATTATACATAATATGCAGTGCACGCAGTGCCAGCAGGTAAGACATACTCCTGCTGCTGCTGCTGCTGCTGCTGCTGATGATGATGATGGTGATGATAGTGTTGCTGATAGTGCTGCTGCTGATAGTGCTGCTGCTGCTGATAGTGCTGCTGCTGCTGATAGTGCTGCTGCTGATAGTGCTGCTGCTGATAGTGCTGCTGATGCTGATAGTGCTGCTGCTGCTGATAGTGCTGTTGCTGCTGCTGATGTTGCTGCTGTTGATGTTGATGTTACGTACTGATCCTGCAGCAGCAGCAGCAGGATTAGCATAAGCAGGATTAGCATGAGCATCAGCAGGAGCAACTGTGTGAATATTAGAAGTGTGTTGCTGCTGTTGCTGTTGCTGCTGCTGCGTGCAGATGTATACACCGCATGCAGGCTGGGGTGCTAGGGTCCAGGTGCGGCAGCGCTGTGAGCATAGACGAACGTTTTTATACTTAGAGCAGCTGCTGCTGCAGCAGCAGCATTTGCTTCAGAAGCTGCTGCGGGTAGTTCAACGAAGTGACGGCTTAGACTTCTACTTTCCTAATAAACAAGCAGCAGCAGCATTTACAGATTTCTGCTGCAGCAGACTACCATGCAGCACGAACAGCAGCAAACAGCTTATATCGTATGACAGCAACAGCAATATATATGTTTATAAATATACAATACTTATTGAGCTGTCACCTGTATGTAGAGACGATTTAGTATTCATACAAGGGAGTACAGCTATCAATACACTAGGAGGCTTCTCGTCTGTCTCCTTATGCACTCGCGTGTCATCGTCTCTGCGGCTCGTTGATGCATTTTCTGCTGCTGCAGTAGATATTGCTGCTGATCTTTATTTTAAGCTGCGTTTTAAATCAATCTGTACGCGCAAGAACTTATCTTTCTTTCTTATCCTTAGTGTGACTCCAATCAAGCAGCAGCAGCAGCAGCAGCAGCAGAAGCAGCAGCAGCAGCAGCAGCACAAGTCCAAACGCCGTCAGCAGAAACTACGCAAACAGCAGCAAGAGCAGCAGCAAGAGCAGCAGCAAGAACAGCAGCAGAAGCAGCAGCAGCACGGAGAGTCTGATGCAGCTGCTGCTGCAGCAGGGGATAAAATGCAGCTTGACTCCAACACTGCTGCTGCTCCCAGCAGCAGCAGCAACAGCAACAGCAGCAGCAGCAGCAGCAGCAGCAGCAGCAGTGGGTTTGTTGTAGCAGAGATAGAGCTGCTGCGGTGTAATGCAGCAGGTGTACCTGAAGGAGAGCCTCTAACAACAGTCAGCCATCTGGGCTTGGGGCTGCATGCAGGCGATTATGCAGCAGGCTATGATTTAGAAAGAATAAACTTTTCAGGCTTTGTAGAGGACTGTCTAGAGCGAGATCTGCATTGGAGAACAAGCAGCAGCAGCAGCAGCAGCAGCAGCAGCAGCAGCAGCAGCAATGATACAGGGTGCGGGCTTGCAGGAGCCCCTTGGCCTGTGATATTAGTTAAGAGATATTATCCGCATAGATCTACGAAGAAGAGACAGTGGGTTTTAAAGAGCATTCATAAAGATAAAGATGAAGAGACAGCAGAAGGTGCTAGCAAGGAAGCAGCAGCAGCAGCAGCAGCAAACAATCAAACAAACACTAGGAAGCGTAGGAGCACACAAGAGCAGCAGCTTATTGAGTGCGACAGCGATCTTGAAGAGTTTAAGAGGGATATTGAAGAAGATAAAGAGTTAAGAAGACAGCTGCTGCTGTATAAAGACCCAAGACAAAATAAAGATGCAGCAAATAAGCCCAAAGGAGCAGCAAAAATACGCACAAACAGCAGCAGCAGCAGCAGCAGCAGCAGCAGCAGTGCGCAGCAGCAGCAACAGGGATTAAAACGGAGGGAAGCAAACAAAGCAAGGAGACTCGCAGAGAGACAGAGCCGTGTGCAGCTGCAGCAGCAGCAGCAGCAGCAAGAGGAGACATATAATTCAAACAGCAGCACACACTCAGACTCAGATAATGATGCTGAAATAACCCCACAGGGATCGGGATCGGGATCGGGATCGGCTCCCGCAGTTGATATCAGCGAGCTCCTCGATGGCCTCACTTTAGAAGACCTCGAGCCCATACACCCGGGGCGCTTTTCGCAGCAGCAGCAGCAGCAGCAGCAGCAGCAGCACGAGCAGCAGCAGCTTGGGGATGCTGCTGCGTCTAGCGGGGATGATGAACCCCTTTAAACATTTCTTTTCAACCCTAAACCCTAAACCCTAAACCCTAAACCCTTGGCACTTAGCTGCTTATGAAAGCATCGCGTTCAAGACGCTTCAAAGAGAGGGGTCTTCGACTGCGGCCCTTTCCTCCTACTAGCTAGCTAGCTAACTAGCTAGCTAGCTAGCTAGCTAACTAACCAGCTAGCTAGCTAGCTATCTGGCAGGCTAGGTAGTGTGCAGGTAGTTGGCTAGCTGGTGTATAGCCAACTGGCTAGCGATTGTACAGCTAGCTAGCTGGCCAGCTAGCGAGTGTGTAGGTAGGTAGGTAGCTAGCTAGCTAGCGAGTGTGTAGGTAGCTAGCTAGCTAGCTAGCTAGCTAGCGAGTGTGTAGGTAGCTGGCTACTAGGGCCATAGGCAGGTAGATAGCTAGCTAGCTGGCTAGGGAGGGTGTCGCTAGCTAGCTAGCTAGATACGGAGTGTGTAGCTAGCTAGCTGTGGATAGAAGATGAGCCGCTAATGCAATGCGAGGGCGCCCGCTGGCCTGCTGGTGGTCTCCCCACAGAGTCTAGGGTTTAGGGTTTAGGGTTTACGATGTAGGGTCTAGGGTTTAGGGTTTAGGGTTTAGGGTTTAGCTTTGTGGGGCCGGGCTTCCTCATCTAAATAGAGAGACTTGTTAATGAGAGGCCTGGAGAGACACCTGACGAAGGACAGGAGACACCCAGCAGCAGCAGCAGCAGCAGCAGCACGAGCAGCGGCAGCAGCAGCAGCAACAACAACAACAGCAGCAGCAGCAGCATGCTGCTTCTCTTTGCAAATGAATCTAAGAATAAGCATCTATGATGGTTTAGAGCAGCAAAAAGAAGAGACAGCTGAAAGACACTGTCTCCTCTCTAACCCTCTCAGTCTCTTTAGGGGGGCCCCCGGGGGCCCTCCAAGGGACTGCTGCTAGGGTTTAGGGTTTAGGGTTTGTTGTTGCAATTAAAATTATTAATTTAGATTTATTTTCGCTGTTATCGCGGTTTCTGCTGCGTGGCTAACACTTAGACAAAAAAAGGTTCAGCACTGCAGCTGCAGCTGCAGCAGCAGCAGCAGCAGCAGCGCAGCAGCAGCAGCAGCAACAGTTGCAGCTGCAGCAGCAGCAACGCAAAGCCCTCTGTGGGCGCTGATCTCTCTGGGGATCGTCTGAGACGATCCCGGCCCCACACCAGCGACAAAATGCATGCATAAAGCGGCGAGTAGGCCACGCACAACGAGGCCCTGCAGCAGCAGCCGCAGCAGCAGCAGCAACAGCTGTAGCAGCAGCAGCAGCAGCAGCAGCAGCAGCAACAGCTGTAGCAGCAGCAGCAGCAGCAGAGGTAGCAGTAGCAGCAGCAGCAGCAGTAGCAGCTTCATGGTTGTACAAGACATCTCTCCATGCGATGCTGTGGCCAAGGCCTTCCCCGGTTGCTGCTGCTGCTGCTGCTGCTGCTGCTGCTGCGGGTAGATGCTGCTGCTGCCGTCTCCTTCTCCTGCAGCAGCTTTCTCTTCAGATGCAGCAGCAAAGGGACTGACTTGTCCAGAGGGCCTCTCATCCCCACGCAGCAGAAACACCAGCTTCAAGCAGCAGCAACAGCAGCAGCAGCAGCAACAGCAGCAGCAGCAGCAGCAGCAAAAGGAACAGCAGATGTAAATACACCCCAAAGCACTTTCCATTATTATGGGAGGCCCCCAAGCATTTGGGGGCCCCTTGCTGCGGCCTCGTGCAGCAGGGGCTGCTCTAGCAGCAGCAGCAGCAGCAGCAACAGCCAGCTCCGCAGCAGCAGCAGCATTGGGGAGGATGTTGCAGCAGCAGCCCGTGCTGCGCTGCAGCAGCAGCCGATCTTTCCGTTTGCTGCTCTTGAGCAGCAGCTGCTGCAGTGGTGGGAGTCTCTCTCTCTCTTCTCGCCTGTAGCCCCACAGCAGCAAACCCCAGCAACACCAGCAGCAGCAGCAGCAGCAACAGCAGCAGCAGCAGCAGCAAAGGCCTTTTGCATGCCCCCCCCTAATCTAACCGGGTCTCTGCATGCAGGGCATCTCCTCAGTTTGACGCTGCAAGATGTTCTCTTCAGGTTTCAAAGACAAAAAGAAATAACCCCATTAAAGCAGCAAATGCTGCTGCAGCAGCAGCAGCAGCAGCAGCAGCAGCAGCTGTACAGAGAGCAGCAGGAGCAGGATAGGGAGCTGCAGCATCAGCAGCACAAAGAGAAGCAAATGGAGGTGCAGCAGCACCAGCAGGAGCTGCAGCAGCTGCAGCAGAACCAACAACACGATCAGCAGCAGCAGCAGCAGCAGCAGTTGCTGCGATCCTTTTGGGTTCCTGGTGTAGACTATGCTGGCTTAGGGCTTCAGCTGCTGTTTGAGCGGCATCTGAACAAAAAGAGACAAAGGAGACAGCTCTCTGCTCGCTGCTGCACCAGCTGTCTCCGCTGTCTTGTTAGCAGCGCCTTCCTAAAGGGAAGGGGGCTTCAGCTGCTAGACTCGCAGCAGCTGCTGCAGCTGCAGCAGCTGCAGCAGCAGGAGCAGCAGCAGAAGCAGCAGCAGCAGCAGCAGGAACAGCAGCAGCAGCAGTCTCTTTTGGGTTCCGAAGGCAGTGAGGCTCCTATGAATATCTCGTCCCTGGAAAGCAGCAGCAGCAGCAGCAGCAGCTGCTGCTGCAGCATCAGCAGCTGCTGCAGCAGCAAGTGCAGCAGGAAGGATTGTTTGCAGCACCTGCTGCTGCTGCAGCGTTGGCTGCGGCTATGCAGCCACCGCATTTATGAGCAGCAGCGGCAGCTAGGCCTAGGCTGCTGGTGGGGCAGCAGCAGCAGCACCGTTGATGCTGCTGCTGTGTCTCTTGCACGCGAGGCCTTTGTGCTGCTGCAGCAACAAGGATTAATAAAGAGACAGCTGGCGCCGCTGCAGACGCTGAGACAGCGAAAAGGAGACACCTGCCCCACAGTTGTTGTTCCGACTGAACTCCTAGAGCTGCCAGCACTGCAGCAGCAGCAGCAGCAGCAGCAGCAGCAACAGCAGCAACAGGAGACACAGGAAGCGCTCTTGGCTTCTTTGCTGCTCACAGGCAAGTGGGATGGGGGACTTTTCATAGAGGCGCCTCTCACCGACTGCAGCAGCAGCAGCAGCAGCAGCAACAACAGCAGCAGCAGCAGCAGCAGCAGCAGTGGGAAGAGGGAAGAAGTACAGCGGCTGCTGCTCCCCGTGCGGTCGCTACGAGATCTGCTGCACGTTGCTGCTGTCGTCACAGATGATGCGGCTGGCTTCCAAGAGCTGCAGCAGCAACGGGAGCAGCAGCAACAGCAGCAGCAGCAACAGCAGCAGCAGCAACAGCAGCAGCAGCAACAGCAGATGGCATTCCTGCCACTGCTGCAGCGCAGCGTCCCGTTTCTGCTGCAGGAGCGGGGACAGAAAAGGCATCCTCATGCTGCAGCAGCCAGTCAGCACATCACTCACTGCACCTGCAGCAGCAGCAGCAGCAGCAGCAACAGCAGCAGCAACAATAGCAGCAACAACAGCAGCAGCAGCAGCAGGGGTAGGAGGGATTTGCTTCCTGCATTTGCTGCTTTGAAATGGGAACCGATCCCAGGAGCGGCGCAGCTGCCAGCCTGCGTCGAAGCAGCCCTGCGATTTGCTGCTGGACAGCAGCAGCAGCAGCAGCAGCAGCAAGAAGAGCAGCGGTCCCACCGCCAGCAGGAAGAGGAAGAGCAGCAGCGGCAGCAGCAGCAGCAGGTAGCACGCGAAAAGGCTGTGCTAGCAGTTTTGCTGCTGGCTGGGGAGCTGCGTATACACCTGAGCAGAGACACCCCACAGGAGTTTATGTGCAGCTTAAGGAGACAGGAGACAGTTAGCAGAGTTAAACCCCAGTGGCACTTCGACACAAAACAAGCAGCAGCAAACGTACTCCGTCTCCTCTGCCCCACAACCCCCCAGCAGCAGCAGCAGCAGCAGCAGCAGCAGCAGCAGCAGCAGCAGGCGAGCTGTATGAACGCTGAGGCGTCAGAACCTTCCCGTGAGGGTCTAAGGAAGCCTGAAGAGGCAGTATGCAGCAGCATCAGCAGCAGAAGCAACAACAACAACAGCAGCAGCAGCATTAGCAGCAGCAACTGCAGCAGCAACAGCAGCAGCAACAGGGGTATGGAGGTGCTGCCGTCTCGTTATTTCAATGAGTTGCTGCAGCAGGTGCAGCTGGGGGCCCCTTGGTGTCTCAGCCGCCAGGCCTGGTGGGGTGTCCCTATCCCTGCCTATCTAATCAGAATCAAACCCCACAAACAGCAGCAGCAGCAGCAGCAGCAGCAGCAGGGGGAGCAGCAGCAGCAACAGCAGGGGGAGCAGCAGCAGCAGCAGCAGGGGGAGCAGCAGCAGCAGCAGCAGCAGGAAGAGAAGGAAGAAGTGCCTCTATGCCAACGAATAGTAGCAGCAGCAAGGGCCCTCGACAGCAGCAAGGAGCTGCTGCAGCAGGAAGGGACAAATGAAGTGTCTCCTCTCAGCAGCGCGCGACTACGGGAGAGGGTTTTAAATGCATATTCTGCTGCTATTAAAGAAATGCAGCAGCAGCAGAAACAAGTAAAGCAGCAGCAACAGCAGCAGCAACAACACACGGGGCCGCAAGAGACGCCTCGCAACCACATGATAGACAATTCAGCTGACTTGCTGCTGCCGCAGGTTTGCTGCTGCTGCACCGGAACAGCAGCAGCAGCAACTGCTGCTGCTGAGGCACAGGAGTTTGCAATTGCTGCTCTGGATGAGGAGACAGCAAAGAAAAAGGCTGCTCTTCTGATTCAACAGCAGCAGCACCAACAACAACAGCAGCAGCAGCAGCAACAGCAGCAGCAGCAGCAGCAGCAGCAGCAGCAGCAGCAGCAGCAGGTCGAGTTTGAGGTTGAAGCAGATACTGATGTTCTGGATACCTGGTTCTCCTCTGCTCTGTGGCCGCTCACTTCCC